CTCAGATTGCGAGTCAAGCGCCCTAACCACCTAACCCTTTACAAACAGACAATTTAGCCGAAAAATCTGTCCGTCAAAACGTTGGAGAGATTATCTAAAACGTCAATTACGTTAGCTTTCTTGATTTTACACATAATTTAAATAAATACATTACACGGCTAATAGTGAATACACTGATAAAATTACTTTAAATTGCAAACATAAAAACTTCCATTTCATGTATATATTATGCAAACTTAAACAACTTAGAAAAGTGCGTCTAGCAACTGCGCCACTTATAAATAAAACTTAAACTCCACCCAATTAAAGTGGCATGAAGCCTACTTTCAATGATCTTTGTAAAATAGTAGAACAATACAAAAAAAAAAATTCAAATCGTGGTATAATGGGTAAGAAAAGTAAAATAGGTGAATGAATTGTTGTAACGTGTTATTCTGGAAATATTTTTACATTTTATTATTTAAAGAAAATACGTATTTACTTGCATATATAATCAATCTTTGGATTGAAAATATACACCACTTTTTTAAATCAAGGGCGGAACTGGGAAATTAAAAGGACATTACGAGAAAGAACATGGAAAATAATTTGTATTTTACAGTTATAATAAAGCTACTAAGTGTATCTGCCGCTATCCCTAATTTTGAACTATTGACCAGAGGGAAGCCAGGCAGTCAACAGACCTTACCACTCTACGCTAAGGGATTGACTGTCAGTCATATAATGCAACCACAAGTTAAAGGTTGTAAAAAAATACTAAACTAGGTGTAACTAGTTTTACCTTTCTTAGTGTGAATAATTCCCCTTCCTAACACTAATTTATGGAAAAAAAAAAAAATCCCTTGAACTTTTCCCAAGTTTTGTTTTCGTTAATAGTAAAAAGGCATTTTTTTAGGGACCTACAAAAGGGGCTACTCTATTCCGAGGAAATTTGTGTTAAATCCTAAAATGACATCTTCCTAAACACTAGCTTATGCCTTTATATCACACCATGAAAGTTTCGCAAGATCGTGACTAGTTTTAATCGTCATGGGCGTTAGCAGTCAATAACTTTACAGAAATGTATGGCACAAGTCACAACAACGAGCATGCCTTCACATTTGTACATTAATTACATGAACATATATTTTTATGAAGACAAACAGTTGTTATACAAAATAAGGATGATTGTAACAATAAAGATCAAGGCTTGTTTGTTTTTAAGTACAAATCCAGATAACAGACACCGAGACATAATAGTCCGTTTTTAAGCCAGCGCTAATAATGAAATGCAACATAATTATTGGTCTAGTTTTATATGCTACTCAATAAAGCGACATTCCCATATTCAAAATATCTCTAGTATATAAATGATCGCAAGTGGATTTTGAAAACTCTTAAGAGAAGTCCCCATAATGAAAATTAATCTCTTAGATACGCAATATAAAATTTTCGTGTTGTTAAATTTGGCTGATGGGAACATATTTTTCAGAAATAATAATTTACAGAAAATTACCAGATAACGTTTATCTAAATGTATTTACAATCTCATTATAAATTTAGGGTTAGTTTTAGGCCTACATTTACAGCAAAACGTACCGCACCTCATAGTAACAGTGCATAATCTTTATTTTATTATGACATTGAAGCTGTTTTCTGCAAATTAAAATTACTAACAGAAACACATCCAACGAGCGAGCGGCTGCTTGTGCTTGTAGTTACTAATCGTAGTATTCATACCTCATTGAAAATAAATTGAGAAAAAGTGAACATTTTCTGAAAAAGGATTTTTTTCCTGATAAGTACTGCACGAGAAAAGTATTCGGATTTTGTTCTTTGGTGATACGCAACATATTGCATCAAAATGATTCAATGCACAGAGCTCAAAATTTTCATAAATTTTACTAATATAAACTGTAATGTTTATATATATTAAAAGTGGAACTGTTTATTGAAAAAAGTTTTTTTATATAAAAACTTCAGTTTCTCAGTACATTTAAAAATTACATTAATAAAGATATAATAAAACCCTCATGTACAGTCATAGTGAAAGTCGTGTTCCCGTTGTGAGGAGAGTACTTTTATTTAAAATTGTATTGTTATAAAGAAATGGTTGTTGCACATACAATTATTTTTCTAATTGTTCGAATCTTGAATACCCAAAGTGTGAAATATTTTTGTTTGTGGTGCTATTTAATAGATGGCGCAGGAGTTTTGTTTACAGATACTGACATACACACTACGTCCATTATAGCAACATTACTTTAACAAAGTTACGTGGTATTATATTTCTTAAGTTATTTATAAAGCAAGTGAAAGTCTACGTATTCTAAACTCGTGGTTTGAAGAAAACAAAAACGTTCTTCTTAAAAACATCTTCATTTTCTCACATTCTTAATTAAGAATAAAAACTAGTTTTAATATTGCCTCTACTAGCTTTCTTTTCAAAATAGTCCTAACGATTGTACGGTTTGAAATAAAGCATAGTCAATTATTGTCGATTGGTACGAGTGGTTTAGAATATTTTGGTTTCAAAGTTGTACTTTTGCACAAAACTTGTATGAAATGTTATACTTAGAGAAGTTACATTCAATTATTCATTACTCAAAAGAGCGGGAGCTAATAGTGACGGATTAAATATACCAGGTTTTCCTATTCCTCCTAATTTTAAAACATCCATTTGAGTACGTTTGAAACTTAAAATGTTACACCGTTAATGATAGTATCTAAAAGGATTAGAATATGACTTACTATCTGTGTGTGTGTGCGTACTTTAATTTTGTACTGGATAACACAAGCTTTTGGAAAATATTTCCTTTGTCAAACACACACGAACCACTCTAGTTTTCATATTTGAAGTCTTGTCATTCAGTATACAGATCTGATACTCTAGTGAACCCTGTGTACTAGCGTAACACCATGTTTACAGTATGGCTGAATATTGCAATACAATAAGCTGAAAACACTTTATATATAAAATTGGATATTTAAATGTAGAGCTGTTCAAAAATGAAGTTCAAGACCATAGATGTTCCACTCAAAATATTAATGTCTAACCCTAAGGTCATTAGGTACAAACAGTTTGTAAGATCATATTCTTAGCATTTGTTGAAAGAGAGGTTAATTTTGATGTTTTTTTTTTTGAACTCAGTGAAAAATTTAGACTCGGTGAACTACCAAACCAGATAAACCTGATAAGACAGACACTAAAATAAATAAATCACTATATGTTGACAAACTTCCACAGCCTATTGTTAATATCACACAACAATGAATCAATTATATGTGAACACCAACCTTGTGCAAGCTACTGACAATATCACACAACATTGCATATTACAGGTGAACACTAATTGTCAACAGCCTAGTGATAACACAACATCACACAAAAAACAATACATAAGTTATTTGCGAACACCATTCTTCCACAGCTACCAACAATATCATACAACGAACAAGGCAACAGTTATATATGAACATCAATCTTTGACAGCTACTAACAATATCAACAATCTTCTACCAACTCCAATTACAGCAAGTATCAAACACCTTCAGAGATACCAGATAGGAATATACTAAACATCAACATAAGGAATGAGAGAAGATGTGGACAGATTAAGTTCCAAATACCTTAAAAAGGTTTTTACCGTAATCATAGAGTTACCCAATATGGCCCCATACAAGAAACAGTTAGATTCTAATCACTTATATTTAGTTAATGTAAGAATAACTCAGCTAAACTTCTTATTTAGTGATTAGTTTGCAAAGGAGGATTGGCAAAATTAGTGATCAAAAATCAGTTAGTATTCAAGTATTATCTCATTGAATTTTTTACCAAATTTAGTTCAATAGGGTCAACAGAAACAAAATGATGGATGTATCTATTTTTCCAGGAAAAAAGTTTGTGCATATGCATTTTTGTGCACTCTTAAGAAAATTTCATGTAGGTTACGAATCTGTTTGAAATTTTTATAGTAATGCCTCTTGATAAAAAAGGAATTTATCACTGAAAAAAAACACACCAAAAACAAAGCAGGAACTTCCTTAGGGTTTACCATAATGCTAGATATATAGCCGAGTGTTTGAACTATGTTTTTACAGCATAATATCTTTGAACATGGAATTCCAGCATTTTAAATTTTTAAGTAGTATATCTCGTCCCCCTCCCCAGAAATAATACTATGAAAAGTGAAAATATTTAAATAGAATAATAGCCTACGTGAAATGCTTTTATACGTAGCGGTCAAACATGCTGACTTTTTTTTTTTAATAATGATTTTATTTGCATATGATATAAAACAGCACCCACATTCTCCTGACAAAATTATATTTATTTTTCAAAGAGATACCACTTGGATCTAATTTTGATAGTGATCTTTGAACACTGATCTTACCAGTTCTCTTTTCTTTACTGAAAGGCAAAAATCCAAGATCTTTATCAATGGACACCGATCCCAAAAAAGTTTCACACGTCTAAATGTAAACTGCGTTTACACTGAACAACTGTATACATAATAACATGATATTTCATGACTGATATAACAGTGCAAAAATAGTGAACACAGCTGGGCAATTAATTCAGTTACTCACTAACATTGATTACATCCATCATCATCATGTAGCATAACTGATTACATCAATTACTGCCACAAAAATAATCAACGTATCAAAATTAGATCTCTTATTACTCCAACTATCCATGTAGTCAAGATATTTTGATTTCTCATTATTAATTCAAAGTTGTTCAACTTGATCTTTAGTGTCAAGAGTCATAACAATAATCGATTAACTAAAATCAGTGTTTCTGGTCACCCCAATTAATCATGTTGGATGTAACTGATTACCATGCCTAACAATTCATTATCAAATTTCACTAAATGTCTAATTATAATGAGTAACTAAACAGAAAAAAAACAACACTTAAATTTATGCCTAATGTGTTTAATAATTTATTTTATTTTTTGAGAGAGAGAGAAAGACGAGGAATAAACAGATCATTTATAAACCATCCAAAGACAGGATCATACTTAGCACTTTTATTAGATATTGAAACATGTGAACTAAACCAACTGTTTACAGGCTGACTACAGCTAGTTTTAGTTAAGGAAACACAGAAAAAAAAAATCAGAATTTTGTTTCAATCACTCAATCACACACATAACAGCATTGCAGTATTTTTCTGGGTGTAAGTCTGCCTTGGGTTACACATAATTAATAAAAACTAGCAAATAACTGTGACATTTTAGTTATTATAGTAGTAATGCCAATTTATATAAAAATCTAAAACAAACACTCAATTTTACATCAGGTTTATGCTGCTACATTTGGAAAAACTAATAATACAAGCTCTAGGTATCAGTGAAGAAAAAGAATATTAACATATTTAATTTTTTTACTACCTTAAAAATACTAATTTCTATAACTTGTTCTTTGTATGTAGTAAAGATTTTGGAAAGCTGGCTTCCTGGAGTGAAACAAATAGTACATAGTATCCAATATACTACAGGTGACATCGGAATCCTTAAAAAGTCCACTTTCTGACTTTCACGTAGGCACTTAAACTATAACTGCATTGATTATTTATAAAATTTTTCAAGATTTCACTTTCAATTTTGCAGTCTTTTTTTCAAATTATCATAATTTTTCATTACTGAGTAACAAAATTGCAGGACCCCCTACCAAATATTTAACTTTTCACAAATTTCAAGTTACAAATGTTTTTCTGTCCGGAGTGAAAGGAAAGCAAACAGAGTATAATGAAGGATGGCATTCACACAATTTCACTCATCTCCACTCTCACTTCTCCAGTCTGGTAGTGCATGCTGTCATCTATGGCAGCGCCCTCCAGTGGCTGTTTGTAAACTTGAAACAAATCTCAGTTTATGAAATACTTTTTACAGTTATCCATGGTATCTGGTAAAAAATAAATAAAAATAAAGATACGAATATGAAAATGTGACAGAAATAAGATAAACTAATATTGTAGCATGGATGTGTCTGAAAACAAGTTTATGTTACATGTTAATACTGTTAGGTGTGTTTTATCAATCAAAATGTTTAAAAAAGAATCATTGTTAGTTTGATTTCACTAGTTAATTTACTAACTAATATATAATCATTTTAAGCAATCAAGCTATTAGACAAAACAAGCTTTTAAAACTTTCATAATAAACTGAAATCAGTTCCTTTGATCTTTAATAAACATAAAAACAACCTACTGCAACATTTATTACAAATGAATTTAAATATCCAAATGATTACTGTGTTAATTGGTATTTCACAATTGAGGGAAAATAAAAGAAAACAAGATAAAAAAAAAAATCTATGTTAACAATCAGATATTGATTAAAGTTACAGAGAAACCAGGTACAACTTTGAACAATATGTTACTAAGACCAGTCTTTAAACCAAAAACATGCAATAAACCTGCAGACATATGTGCAAATTAGGGTTCAGTTTTCAGAAGAGACTGTAAAAACAAGAACATAGTTTACAGTTTGACATGCAAACTTTGTGGTTCTGTATACATTGTTGAAACAATCAAAACTATTAGGGATAGAATTAACAAACACGTTCAGGCTCTGCATACATTAGACAGTAAAGTTAGTGCTGTGACTGAACATTTTGTTGACAAACACATTATAACTGATACTGACTGTCCTACAATGATAAACATCATCAACTGCCATTGTTTTTTTTTTGTTAGAAAATTCAAAGAAGCTCTTCTAATTTCAGGAAATAAGCCGAAGTTAAACAAAACACCAACCTGGAAGTTTTAACTATTACTGTTCATATTTAATTAGTATAATATTTTAGGTATGCTTCTAAATAATATAGTATTGTTTGTTTGCATGTACTTTAACTTTCACAACAGTTATGTTTGTATATTCTTGTGTGAACTCCATCTTATTATGCAGACTCGAATTTTTTTGAATAACCCTAAAATTATTTAACAAGTGTCTTGTTTATCACGATGAAGCCATAATGGAAAAATGTTGGCTTAAATAAAAAGTTGTTTTCTGGAGTAATAGGTCGTGTTTTATATATTTTTTAAACAATGAATACAACTCTCTAGTTTGCTCTACAAACTCTTACAAAACAATTACTCTTTACTTTCTAAGCTAGTGACAATTTCATTCATCCCTCTGGCCAGTTTTGTAACATTATAGTTATCTGGAATCATCCTGGTTATAATACACCATGCTGTTTTGTAAAAACTTATCCTAGAACAAAGTGACAGATTAGTTCGTTATAGTAAAACAAGGTTCCCCCTTATTACAAAAAGTGTTGCACCCTCCAACACAACCAACTACTTACCAAATCAGTCTACAAATGGCTTAATGGCTGAAGAAAAAACGGTACACACGTGCAGCAATTTAATCTATATTACGTATTAAAGTATGACACACTGACTAAACATATACCGTTGTTTCAGTCAATGCCCTTCTTCGGGTATCTGTAACTAAACAGTAAGTGTGCAAACAAAAATAAGTCTTATTTTGAAGGTCTTGTGATACAATAGTATATACTATAATATGTATCTGTAGTTAACACCTTGTTGTCTTCAGTTGTTTAACGTACAACATATTTCTTGTTTTCCTCTTTCAACAACCACTAAACCTAAGTTTAGTTTTTTTTACACTGAAAACCATTCAGATGGCTTCCACTGTTGGACCTGCTCATAGCCTTGATACAAAAACAAATACAACAAACTGCTTTATCTTCTCACTACAAGAGGCAAACCCAAACAATAGAGTGATGTACAAAGAAGGTAACAGCTAAAGGTTAAGTTGTATTTTTAAGACATGTATTATTCACATTAGACTACACATTTTAAAGAACTGTACCATCATGTAAGTCTTAGCCACATAAATCTCAATCTGCAATCTTTGTATGGCATAATCACAGGATTTTAAGATGATGTCCTTCTCATTGCTGGACAATTTCAACTATCTTTTATTTTTTGTCAACTTTCTTATTCTTGGAACATTAAAACGTGACTTCCAATTGTTTTTACTTTTTAGATGAAGTGTACAGGCCTCTCAGCAGTGTCGGCTGCTGCCAGCCTTTAAAATAAATTACTAAAATACAGGCTATTTTTAATGAATCTTTCTTGTGGAGGTACTACATTATTATTAAATTCTATAAAACCAAATACGGGTATATAAATTTAAACATAATTGCTTCCTACTTTCTACTGAACTAAGTTTTACCTTTCAGATAAAAACCAAAAATTTCTTGTTTCTGTAAATATACATTTTTTCCAGACTATTTTAGGCTCTTTGACCAATTATACAGGTTTTAAAAGTTTGCTGGGAGTCCCAGTTGGGTGCAAATTTAGAGTGATGAATTATATCAGCATGAAATTCACAAAATTTCAATTAGAATGATTCATTATCAGTCAACACTTAACACATTCACTGTAAAGTCCCAGAAAGCGTTCTCTTTCAAGAACAAATAAAAACAAAGTTAAGAGTAACAAATATTTATATTTCTTGCTTTTGAAGTTCATATGTGATGCACATTTTACTGATGTCATGACAATACATATTGCAATGTTAAGCATTCCTTATGTGACGTCATTTTGATGTCTACTGACTGACTAACTGACAGACCACACACTACTGTATAGTGGTGTGAGTGGTTAAAAAAAGGTGGCCTTTGGCCTCCTTTCGAGGAAATAATAATAATAAAAACTATTAAAGTTTCACATTTTCTAGTTAACAAATGAAACTTACCATGAAGATGCAGCATTTTTAAGTTTTTTAACTTCTTTTGTTGCCCAGCTAGCCAGTGTCTTCGTCTTAGTAGCCTTAGAACGGCGACCTTTGGTAAGAAGGTCACTTATAATTTCATTGTCCAGAAGTGGTAGCATACTTTTTCCAAAAGCTGAGCAAAGGTCTCTTAAAATTCAAAATACAAAGTTTTTGTTATTATACTTATAAAGTAATGGTCCCTTACAAGTAAACATGGTTCACATCCAACACTGATCAAATGAGAATAGTAGAAATTAAACATTTGCAAACCAATTTCACCATTGTACAGTTGCATCATAATTATTGAATACAACCATAGGCTATGACAACATCTATACCACACCAGACAAGTTAGGACAGAGAAACAATATGGTGTCTATAATAGCATCAAACAAAATATTGAGGTATACTTGATCAAACTCAGTACTGTACAGTTCTGCCAATCACATCTGTTTCGTTCTTGGATTGTACCGACATTTAGGTATACACACATTAACCCTTTAACTGCGGATCTTTTTGCGACCCATACACTGTATACAGCACACCCAGAGGTGGACTGTACCCCTCTATGGCAAATCAGCAGTCAAATGGGTTAAAAAAATCTAGTAATAAAGCTATTTTAGCAATAATTATTACATTTCATTAAACGAACAAAAGCTAATTGTGTTTACGGTCCCTTTTTATAGACATGTTATTGGCTATTTGAAAAACATTATAGCTTTAGAGCCAAAAATTTCTCAAATTAGTACTGTCTACGGCAACTGCACGTGTGCATAAAACACACAACATAAGTAAAATTTTTAGTTCCTTATTCTGCCTGTGCCTAATGACTGCAATATTCTCCCACATAGCGTATATGATTCCTTGTATCCCTGCCTTAAAGAAATAATATTAAGACTAGTTACTGACTTTCAAGATCCCTTAAACATAAGATTACCAAAACGTTTTGTAGTTACTTATTAAGCTAACAATATAAAACCAAAAACAATGCTATTACAGGAAATTTACATAAACCAAACAAGAAATTATGTTTTGACATGTACATTGTATATTTTAAAGTTTTTTTTACTTTAAGTTATGCAGAAAATGTTGGGTTATTTATACTACAGTTAAGAACAGCGTGTATTTTTTACCCAATAAGACCAGCACAAGCAGCTATGTTCTCATCCGAGTGGTCTGGGTCCTGAGCTAAGTGTTTGATAAATTCTATCATATGCTCTACATAAGGGAAGACGAGTTGAACATCGGCTGAAATAGAAAAAAAAATAAAAATACATGAATATCTACAGGGTGGGGATGAAAGTGTCTAGAGTTTAATCTCTTACTATTACTCTCATCCTAACAATAATTACAATGGTTTCAACTGTCTTTAGTACGAACCATGTAATACAAACTCCAACAATTGTATATCACCAATTGGTACAAAATGAGTATAAACCTATAGGTAGTAGGAGAATCACAAAACCTACAACTTTGCCAGATGGAACAACTTACACAGAACATACTTATGAAAACAAAATGACCAAAGGTGCTACTGCAAGGTGACCATGAAATCATACTAGATAAATACGACATAATAAGATCTGTAGTTGTCAGTGCAAGTTTGATGACCAATCTCAAACAATCTACTTTTCAATTTTAGAAATGTTACAAGTACTCAATATTTACACATCAGCAGAAAATTATACTCAACATTGCGTCATGCACGTCACTGGAGATAAGCTTCATGCTGCTGTCTGTTACATCCCACCTTGTCTGGAACACGTCATTGAAATGGGTCGAGGAAATACTGAAGGACCATTTGATGCGACTTAAATGATACTACTGCACGTATTGTTAATGAAAATAAAATATAATCTGCTCAAAGGTCACTCTGCAGCACCACCTATGTCCTTTTATATATACATATATGTGTTCAGTCTATGATTATATAAACGTGTACTAACTGACTTTATATACATATATGTGTGTGTGTGTGTGTGTGTTCAGTCTATGATTATATAAACGTGTACTAACTGACTTTATATATACATATAGTGTGTGTGTTCAGTCTATGATTATATAAACGTGTACTAACTGACTTTATATATACACGTGTGTGTTCAGTCTATGATTATATAAACGTGTACTAACTGACTTTATACATACATATACGTGTGTGTTCAGTCTATGATTATATAAACGTGTACTAACTGACTATATATACGTGTGTGCGTTCAGTCTATGGTTATATAAATGTGTACTAACTGACTTTATATATACATATGTGTGTGTGTGTTCAGTCTATGGTTATATAAACGTGTACTAACTGACTTTATATATACATATGTGTGTGTGTGTTCAGTCTATGGTTATATAAACGTGTACTAACTGACTTTATACATATATGTGTGTTCAGTACTAACTGACAAAACTTTAGATTATACTGACACCAACTGTATCTCTACAATGTAAACACATTTTTACATTCATCCAATTTTAGTTTTTTCTATTTAATTTGAGACATTACCCACATATATGGGAGATGTATTGCTGCATAAACTAATATAAAACATGGATTAACTGTAGGAGGGTTTTAAAATTTAACGACCAAGCAACAAAATTTGAATGTGTCAGTTTTGTCTAACTTGTGGTACTAAGTATCTTAAGTTTATCTTATAGTTTATTACTTGCTGCTAAATCAATACAGAATCTCAAAGTATCTTTATGAACCTGAGCAGAAAAGACATCTCTGATTTTGTCCTGTAAAACTTATATATAAGTATACATTAAGATTTGTAACCTGCATGATAGGCCTACAAGGAATTGAACCTGTAAGCTTTTAGCCTAATCTATCCTCTCAGCTTTCCAAGTTCAATCGCATGTAGGACTATATCGTAAACCACAAGTTCCTGAAATGAAATGTATGTTTTCATTCATTCACTTCTATGTACACTTTCAAGTTATGAAGAAAGCAGTTTCCAGAGAAATCTAGAAAATCTTAAAATATGTAACATCAAATGCACCATTTTAACTGTCTGTAGACTAAATATGAACAATAAAACCAGGAAACTCAACATGTAACCAGAATAATGAACATAGAATGGATATGAAATACAGATTGACTGGTTAGTTGGTTTTAATGCAAAGCCATACTGGACTATCTACTGTGTCCAATATGGGGAATCAAACCCCAGAATTTAATGTTGTTAGTTTGTAAACTTACCACTGACCCACTGGGGGATATGAATTATAAAACTAGAATAATTAAAATAAGTACTGGAACCATGAGAATGAATGCAGTGGTCACGCACTACCAAACGAACCAGGTGAATATAAACTTTATAAAACTATACAACTTACTTTTTAAAATTGAATTAGTTATATCCTGTACAATTAGAATAATAATGACCCGTGAACTAAGGTGTCGACAAAAGTATATACGACAATTCAAGATAACTTCTACTTGTTCTTCAAGAGAAATACAAAATAATTTGTTTAAATTATTAATTATATCTTTTTTGTTATTTTAATGGACAGAACAGAATTTACAAGACTATATTATAACAGCAAATGACCTTTATCAAATGAAAGATTCAAAGCTATACATACTTTGTCTTTCAGCAAGAACCCTAAATAGGTCAATGTCGGAGATTTGGAAGCATTTTCATGTAGAAGAAAAACAAACAAAGACTGGTATTAAGTTCAGCCACCTTACAACACAAAATATCTAACTACACTTACTACTTGGGGATATTTGGTCTCCTTTGAGTCCCTGAACAATGCCAGTGTAAGCCTCTAAGCATCCTTCCCGAAGTGAATTTAGATACTCCACCATGTCATAATCAAGCTATTACAAAACCAGTAAAGTAATATTAGTAACTTGCCAACCTAAAAATTTTGAAATACCAAATATTTCTCTCTCTTGAATAACACAATATACACAGTTACCACCACTGAAGTTACGTCTGTTTTAAGCGATTGTCCACAAAACTTAACCTGGTGCCACATAATTGTGCATTAATATCTATTTTGGAAACTATACCAAGATAGTTTTCACTGTTCATATATCAAATATAAAATCTAATAATTTCTCTGCACTTAAAGACCAAATTCGTTGAGGCTCTGGGGACTAGACAAAAGAAACTTTAGGGTTGCCAGTTACATGTATTTGCTCCAGATTATTTTAAACTCCATGCTTCAAATTTTCACTAACTTCATAACTGGATAGTTTTTAGCATTAACCATAATTTGCTTTATTTAACTTTATCAACAAGCCTGTTTAGGCTACAATGAATACTTTTCATATTATCAAGCCTTTAAGAAATGCTTTACACTTGTCATGTTAACATTACTTTCCCATTGTTTTGCTAAAAAGTTTTTAGCAGAAAAACAGCAAACATTTGAAGTTAAATTTGAATTGCATATTATTTTAAACAAGTTTATACCACTGTGTTATAGTAGTAAATATATACTCTATAAACTTACTTTATCGTACCTCAACTTATTAGCGTAAATTCTTGTGTTCAATGCTGCAATATTGAATATACAAATATCTGATGCTAATGTGTGAATCAATATTCTCTTTACCTTTTAAACTACTGAAAATAAAGTTCAAGTCTGAATATCCACAATAAGTGATTTCAACCAAGAGCAATCTGACTATACAAGTCAGAACTTTTACACAAAAACTTAAATTAATGAATCTAACCCAATATAACAAACTGACTAGTAATAATCATTATAATTTATTACATAGAGATTTAATGATTATTAAGCACTGAATAACCATTTGAATACCCTTACTGTCAAAATTTTTTTCTTCTTTTTCTGCCATGATCTTAATATTATCTCACAAGATTTAGCCAACTTAGGTTAGTCCTAAATCCATATACCAGGCTTACAATGCAAAATGATTTTCTTTAATCTGAAAATCACTTCATATCATACAAGTTTTCTTGTTATATTTTTTGCTCCCTGGGGATGTCTGGTACCCTGAGATTATATAATAAATCAGCATGTATTACAAATGTTTACAAAAGTGAGCCAGGCCAATGTGTTTGATTCAGTAATGAGAGATATCTCAGAAAATAGAAAAGATAGGAGGCTCTTATTTTATATTTTAGCTTGTCAATATCGGTAGTTTAAGTTCCTAATTCGTACAAAACGATAGAATTTGTATTTTAACATCACAAACATTTAATTTGAACCAGTGCTGCATTCAACATACCACGTGACACACAAAAATCGATGTTACGGTGCATTTTTTAATATTTATCTTTAAATTAAGAAATTAAATAATGTATAATACTAAAATTTGAATTATAATCTACAGTTTGATACCAAAGTTAATGACATAAATACATAAAATAGTAGTTCAATAACATTTTGAATGCGAGTCAACAAACGCGATGACATGGCCTTTGACCCGTGTGGAAAGGTTAATAGTAGAAATCATATATTTCTTCTCAACATATTTTGTTCTCTTCAAGTCCGTTAACAGATATTTTCTAACTAGGAACACGTACTTAACAAATGCATTTTCATAAGAAAGCTTAAAAGGTACATAAAGAAGTGTACAAATTGAAGTGATGATCATACAAACTTTCAGTACAGTGCAATGTGTTACCATAACAGAAACAATTACACAGTCCAGATGATAAACATATTTTCTCAATTTGAACTGGTGATGCAGTAGGTATAAAAATGTAAATATTATCATATCAACAGCAGTACAGAACTTTTTTTGTTGACTTTCAAAATTTGTAATGCATACTGGAGGGAGTTACATATTTTGATAAAAGGTTTGAAAAAAAAAAACACCTTTACACTATGTACTAACACTGACGAAGCCACAAAGACAAAACATTGGTTAAAAGAAAAAGGTATTTTATAATTATCTGGAGTGTAAAAGTCATTTTTTTTCTAACCTTTTTATCAAAACAGTACAGAAGAGTTGATGAACTCACCTTCTCAATTTGAGCTGATGATGCTTGCACTAAAGTTTGTAGGACAATTTCCAAATACTTTTTAAACTCCAAACCAATGGCTAAGGCTATATCACCAAATACGGAGAGGATATGTGGCTTCACTGTTCGAAAAACATTATTATTCTAGAAAAAAGAAAGCAATTTATAAATTCTACAATGATTGTTATAAAAACTTTGCCAAAGATCCACAGAGCCAAAAATATAAGAATTATACAGACAAGATAGTAGATATTGTACATTAATGAGCACAGGCTGTATAATAAAGTTCAAGATTAAAGCCAATGGATTATATTTTCTAATAATGTTAGCACAATGTTTCATTGAGTTATTTAAAGATGTGTTTACGAACAGATTATCAAAATCATATAGAAACAAATAGGTTATATTAACCTTTATAACAGGGCAGTCTAACCCTTTATCTAGAGAGAACCAGAATGTAAAGGATGGAACTGTTTCGAGGACTATAATTTAACACTTGTTAGGTCTTACTGGAATAGAATTTTAATTTAAAGTTTATTTGTAAATCAAAATTTGTTGAGTAAATGGGTTGGGCATAATACTTATAAAAAAAACAACAAAAATAACAGATACTAAATAACATTTATAATACAGGTGTATCATCTATACATGTATTATTATTGGATTTCATATCTAATTTTCTTGTTCATGTTTCACTCTTCCGGTTCTTGTATCATTAAGTTCAACTGTTGATAAATCTTCAAACTGTTCTAGACATTACTTCCTGCACAAACACACTTTTTTCTAATTTTTCCATTTGAGGTGTTTTTATTTAAAAACTTTGTTTCCCCATCACTTATACATCACAACTGAAATAATACATGACGTCTCACTTCTCGTACAGCAGCTATTAAATGATTAGAATGCTCATAAAGGCAAAGGAATTATCCATATTATAAAAGTACTTAGGTTTCTCTTCTGGATGAAGAAAACATTACATTATAAAAGTATTTGGGCACCTCTTCCACGCTTTTTTTCTACTGATCTTTTCTGTTTTGCGGGAAAAAACAACAAAAACTACTGGATAAGATAGTTTGAAACTTGAGATGAACATTTTACAATTTATGTAGATTATGCAAGTAAAATATTATGTTTAAATGTGATACTTATATGAATTCATAGCTAACATACTGCAACATCATGATCCAAATTATGTATAAAATGATACAACAAACCCTTTCTTAAGCTTAAAAAACAAATCAGGAGAGTAGATCTGGAAGATATTGTTCATGAACATTTTCTTCTGTCAACACTTCATCTAGCTAAACTTTTATCATTTGGTTCTGATCTTTACACAGGTCTCTGCTGAGTTAGAAGCTTTTGTTATGTGCTTAGATCACTAACCTGTCATCTTTCAAAGCTGAGATATAGGCAATTACACCACACCATCAAAAACAGTGATCGGTTAAAATCAATAACAATACACACGTTTTGAAGTTGCAAGGGTCAAGTTAGTGGTATTTTGTCCAAACTATATCAACTTTCTTCACAGGGGCCAACAAGTGTCCTATTATGCTCAGAAATAAATTTAGGAAATTCACAAATACTAACTTTGAGCACACCAAAATGTTTTTTAATATATGGAAGAACAACTACAAGTTTATTTCCTATAAATTTTTATTATTCAATGGTACAATTAAGTCTTCAGGGCAGGATGTAACCACCTGGGTGTGATAGGAGGTAAGAGAATGTTGCACTGAAGTCAAATCTTCTCACAAGTTTTCTTTTTCTGTACTACAAGAGATGCCCAACCAACCAGTGAAACTGACTCGTGGTGTTTTCAATTTAAATTATTCTCAATTTGTTAAACTAGAAATAAATTCCTGAAGACATTCCTAAGCAACTGTTCAACCCTTCTTAATTAGAGAAATAAATTAAAAAAGAAAAAAAAAAATCACAGAGTTTAGTGAAGAACATTCAAGATTACACAAACAAGGAAAAAACTTCAACAAACCATAGATAAATGTGTAAATATACGTTGTATTGGGTATTTCTCCAATTGGATGATATACACTGAATACACAATACGTAAATAACAAATACAACTAAAGTTACACAAGTATTTGTGATATATTTTAGTAGATCCATTGGGAAATTTTAAGGAAGTACTACTCACCCCTAGGTTTTCCAGTAGCATTGCCATTATTTCATCGCAATAAGGAAGTACCTTGATTCCAAGTGCTCTACAGATGTCTCCAGTTAAGCCAACTGCAGCTATACACACCTGTCAAAAAGATTGTATACCATCAGAGTTCTAACTCTGGAGTCAATTTACTGATTGATATTATAACTATGTTAACTCTTTCGCAATAGGTGGGTCTAACCGCGCATGTCAAAGGCTTTTAGAGTTATTTTCAAAATTTAATTAAGCTACTTTTTTTTATGTTATACCATTTAGTATAGCATAAAAGCGTAGCTAATAATCCATATTTTAATAGTATATAAGTTTTAAATTCTTAATTCTACAAGGGAATATTTAAAAAAATCCTGAATTTCCCCTAGTGTGAGAAATGTAACATTTTCTCTGGGCATCCAATCTTCTCTACTTTATTCACCACCCCTCCAATAAGTATGAAATTTAATGTAAATTACTCATTATAAAATCACTAATGTTGAGTCAAACCATAATTTTTATAGCCTTCAATTTTGTTTGGTTACAGAGCCATCAAATAAAAAATAAGACCCTTCTTGCTACATCCACCTGTCACATCTCTTTCCAGATTTGTTAATAGTTCTCTCTTACGTTTAATTCTATATCACGTATAATGAATAGAATACCAAGATTTTCATCTATCAAGTGACGTATTATATTACAATGTTTTCTGAACAGAGAATTGTCAATTTCTCAGTTAGTACAAGATTCATTCCTACAAGAAAGATAACGACTAGCTTGGATGAATTTGTAATGGTTTTTGTTGCATAGTTAGAAAGCCAGAACAATTGTGATGGTTAGGGGAAATTGTCTACTTTTTGCATGTTATTATTCTATGTTCTTTGATGTATTATTTAATTAACTAAAAATATTTAGTGCATTACTACCATTAGTATAAAAAAGTAGGGTTAAGTGTCATCAACAGTCAACAGCAGAAAACAAGACAACCAGGGTAAGTACTTTATTTCTTGTTTTTCACGTTTATTCTTTATTTATTATTATAAAAGTAAACAAAATGTAAAACTAAAGATCTCTAAGGTTAGATTAGGTAAAATAAATAATAACAAATGTTTCACGAGGTACGCATGCAAACAGCTCGGACTCAGAGTAGCTCGTGGGTAATGTAATGCCAAAGCATAACATGAGCTACATGTTCCCCAAGTAATTTACAACTTATAATGGCATGAATAATTCTAGTTATTTGTTCAAAGGGCAATAAAACAATAAAATTTAAGTATAAATAGATGTATACTGTTACAAGTTTAAAGCTACTTAGGATAAACGAATGCAGTTTCACGCTACATTTGAAGTCATTCTAGACCGAGAAAATAATGAATAATATAAACTGAAAACAAATATTTGAAATGTATTTAGAAGGTTTTAGAGACTACAAAAATAATATTTGAGATTTCTGGGACAAAGAATGGTTTTTTTGTTTATCCTAACATGAAAATCACTTCACACTTGGACTAGTATTTATTAGTAGTAATGAAACATACTCGATATATTAAAAAAAATCTTTAGTAAAAATACTTCATTAAAAACCTAAAATTTTGTGTAGAAAAGATTTGTATTGTTTACTAAAAGTGTACCAAATGTTGTGAAGATACACATACTGCATTAAAAGTTATAGTATAAATACTTAACATGCATAAATGTGTATACGAACTCGTGTATTTTATACCAAGCCCATCACAAAAGGGATAATACAATTTTTTCATTAGGAACACAACTTCTAACAGTCTGACCACTTATTAATACAGTAAGTTCATTAGATTGGCCATTTGTTAACCCTACAGACATAGGAGGATCAAATTGTACATGTCACAACCTTTTTACAGAGTTACATTGAAATTTAAAGTACTTTATCACCAATTTATATTAAACTTGGCATAAAAATAATCTATAATTGAAATTTTTTATAGTATCTAAGTTTTAATTTCAAAAGTAAATATGTGAATAAATCCTCAGTCTGCACCTCTGATTTACATGGTTTAGCTCTGACTTCTCATTTATAGCTTTTCTCTTTCCTTACAAGACCTCAGATGTTTCAACTAATTAAAAACAAATAGTATAGATAATAAAAAGCCAGAATATAATATTTGAGCATATTATCTTCTTGTTTTATTAAGAAATCACTATATTTGTTCAACCCACAATGACATGTCACTCCTAAATCCACTGTTTTTAAGAAATGCTTAAATATATCAGACATTGCTATTGGACATGTGTTTAACCAATAGAAAGAGTATATTCTAAACAATCTAAACTAGATGAATATTTTGCTTTAGCAGTTAAAGCTGACATTTTGCTGGGAGACCTTGATGTTTTTATATAAAAGTTGTTGCTTGAAGCAATCATGGAACTTTTTTTTTAATCTACTTATATGTTAATTAGAAAGCCATGTAAATTGTAATAGCTTTGGGACATTCTATTCTAATGCCTGATATATTTTTGGTGTTGCAAAATGAATATTTTAATGCTACATGAATTACTATTGGACAACCAACATAGAAGAAAATAAGCTTACTAAACCATGCATCCAAGTGCAAAAGGCTTCAAATACGTTTCATATTTCTTGGTTTTATTCATATATTTTGTCATTCACTGTTATATACCTTTTAACAAATATAACTGTAAAGTAAAAATTTGAAACTTATTAGTTTAGATGAGAAAACTGAAATGAAAAAAATAAATATCTCTCCTTGCAGGCTGCTGTCATAAGATGTGAAATAACTCAGTTTATTTAACCCAACTTCTCATCAGGTGATTTGTTGCTTTGTTACGATAGTTTAACATTTACTATATATATATAAAAATAAATCACATTTCCCCCCCAGATTAACCCAATAAAGGCTTAATAAATTCAGACAAATCTTTAGAAGAAATAATTAATTAAAAAAAAAACTGTTTTTTTTTCTTGTTTTTCTGTACAACATATTTGTAATAGTAACTAAAAGCTTGTCAAATTTTGAAAAGATACACTTAGTAACTTCTAAGTTATAATATGTATATTATCATGATTCTGATTAACTTAATTGAGCACATTTCCACAGGTTTAATACAATCTGATCATTAAGAACATAATCAGTTTAACCCTTTCTCATCCACGGAAGGGTTAACACTCTGACTATTATTTATACAATCTGTACATTAGTCTGACTAATAGTAGTACAATCTCTACACCAGTCTGACCATTAGTGAGAATCTGTATACTAATTTGGGCATATGCAATAAACTGCATATATACGTATAACAAGTAACTAATAAAATGTAGGTTGTTGTAGAAACAGATTATTTATAACCTGTGACAAAAATAATTTTTATTATTAACCAAATCGGACAACTTGGAATTAAACTATAATTTCACACTCGCACCTGAGAAATAATTTTGTTCAGTAATCATATATAACCCAGATAATTTACATGGACTTTTATATTTCCCTTCCAACCTGAACGTTTTGAATATGTCTATAATCTCACCTGGTGTTCTGCATGGTTCTTTAATCCTAATGCTAAGAAAGGCCTAAAAGCATCCATATACTTCAGGAACTGATCACCAAGAACTAGACAGACAAAAAAAATAATCAAACACAACATGACAAATACAAGTGAATTTTTACCGAAATATTTTAACGGTTTTTTTTTATTTCAAACTATTTAAATTCAAGTTGCAATGCACTCTTTGGTTCTTCAAAACAAAGGCACAAATAAAGGTCAAGCAGCACAGAAAACTGTAATACATAATTAACAAAAACTCAACTTTAATTTTAAAACTGACCCATAAGGACTTATGACAATGAAAGTCAAGCAGCACAGAAAACTGTAATACATAATTAACAAAAACTCAACTTTAATTTTAAAACTGACCCATAAGGACTTATGACAATGAAAGTCAAGCAGCACAGAAAACTGTAATACATAATTAACAAAAACTCAACTTTAATTTTAAAACTAACCCATAAGGACTTATGACAATGAAACCCACAAATCATGCAGTTTTTCATTGATATGACACTCACAGTTCATTTATTTACTACCCCTTGGAGAAGTAGGAAATTTAATGTAAATTACTCATTATAATTTTGTCACGGCTCAGACAAAGCATAATCTTTATACTTTTCAATCTTATTTGTTTACAGAGCCAAAAAATAGAAAATCATACCCCTCTTGCCACACCCACATTCCCTCTTTCAGAAATTGTCAATAGTTTTCTCCAACATATATTATCTATAACTAACAGAAAGTCAAGATTTTATTAATCTATCAAATGACGTATTGTATTACATTGTTTTCGGTACAGATTTTTGTCTATTTCGCTTTTAGTTCAAACTTTATTCATACAGGAAACACGTCGAAGAGCTTAGCTGAATTTTTAACATCTCTTGTCACAAAGTTAGAAAGCCAGAAAAAATGTAATAGTTATGGGACATTGTCTGCTTTTTGCACGTTATTATTATGTGTTCTTTGGTGCATTGTTTAATTAAATAAAAATTATTCAGTGCACTACTACCACTAGTATAAAAGAGTAGGCTTAAGTGTCATCGACAGTCAACAACAACAAAAAACCCAGGTAAGGACTTTATTTCTTGTTTTTCATGTGTATTATTTATCTATAATTATAAAAGTAACTAAATGTAAAAATCAGAAACTTTATAGGTTAGATTAGGTAAAGTAATGAATAATAATAATAATAACAAGTTTCAAGAGGTATGTTTCTGAGCAGCCTGTGTGTTACGTAATTTGATATGGTAACATAAGATACACATTTGCCAAGTGATTTACAACTCATATGGCATGAATATTAGTTAAATACAGTTCAAAGGGCAATAAAACAATAAAATTTAAGTATAAACAGATGTATACTGGTATGAGTTTAAAGCTATTTAGGATAAACAAATGTAGTTTCATGTTACAATTTCAATTTAAAGTCATTCTATAATAGAAAAAAAAGCAATTTAAATTTATTTAAAATTTTTTATTGGTGGTTACAAGGTTAGTCAACTTGACCAACCTTGTATAAGAGTTAGGGTTGAGTAAATAACAGATAAAATATAGTTTTACTATTTAAATAATAATAATTAAAAAAGTTTGAAATTTATTTAGAAGGCTTTAGAGATTACCCAAAGAAAATTTGGGATTTTTTTAAGACAAAGAATACTTTTGTTTAGCCTAACATGAAAATCACTTCGCACTCAAAGTAGTCAGCACTAAACATTCTGATTTTTTGTCTACAAATGCCTCTTAATGATTAAAGAAAGCTTGTGAAATTTCGTGAAGACACACCAAACATATTAGAAGTTATAATATGGAAACTATAAAGGTCAATTGACAGAGCCTGTAGCAAGAGTTAAAAATGATTGAAGCTGCCAAAAATGACTGTATTTTACAAATCAAATAGACTTTGACCATTACAAACTTGAATGTGGAATTAAATAAACAGTCTAGTACTGGTGAGCTTCTTTTTCCTTACCTGTGCAAATTTGTTACAAACAGCTATTGAGACAGGTTTACTTACCTTCAACTAATGTTGACACTGCCATCAGAGCATCTTCCTGAACCCCTCCAGATTTGCAGCTACTGGAACTAAACATCTGGAGAAGAGCTGTCATGATGGCATCAGATATTTTTGGAGCATCTTCTGGTGTCATCTTCCTTAAAACACTCTATGGGATATGGAAGAAAAAAATATCTTTATCTGATACATATAATTCTTCAAATGCTTGAGATTAATCAACAGAGAAAGGAGTTTGTGTGAGATCACAAAATGTAATAGTAAGGATCTGGAACTTCTGTTAAATTGTCAGCTTATTAACTTAGTTCAAACACAGATAACCACAAAGTGACCTTTCTTTAGACAAACACTTAGCAACACATTTTTTTCTTTTTATTACTAAGAAGTTTTATTTCTAGGTAAAATCAATATTAGTCACATACATATATACAACAAAATTGCAGTATTGACTTTTCAGACTTGGCTTAGATAAAATCTCCCCAAGTTCTACTTTCTAACTGCCACAGGTTTTTCATTGGTCAAAGAGAGAACTAACTCGAAATGAAGTCTAAGTTAAGCCTCTTGCTATTACTGGATGCTTACTGTATATCACACTCTAATCACCTGATTTTTCACACAACCAAAGAAAAACTCCAGGAAAAAGAAATACATTCAAGAAGGTTTAAATTAGTGTCAATTCTAAGCACCAACAGCTGGATTACATTTACTGGCAGTCACACAATTTAAATATTAAAAGGAGATTAAATAGGTAAAGGATGGCCATCACATGTAAATTAGAAGTGTTAGCATAAACACACCAACCATGACAAAGCTTAGTAAAAGGATTTTAAAAAAATAAATAATAAAAATATTTTATTATAAAGTTTGGGAAGTAAGACTGAAAAAGAAAAAAGGTCTTATGTTATAAACAGATTTAGCATTGGAATTATATATCACAATGTTTTGTTGTTTTACAGTACCTCAACAACAAATTCTGACTACCTATCCAGCTTATGTTTGAATAACCTTTTTTGTTTCTTAAACTGTTAATCTGAAAATTCTGTGATACAGCATTATTGTTTATTAAAATGGAAATAATTATATCTGTTCACTAATTAATTTTTTTACTTAAAATAACATGTTATAAATCTTAAGATATAAATTAGTGCTATACTATACTTTTTGAATTCCACATAATTCTCCTGAAAACCTACCATTATCTAAAAATTATCAAGTTGTTCAGAACTGTGGTGTAGTATTCTATCAAAATGTCAAACAATTAATACTTTAACACATACCAGAAGTCCTGCATCTAAGCATTATAAAATTTATGAACTGAAATTTTCTTTTACGTTTTGGTGAAGTAAGAGTAGGTGTACTGTTAATATTTCTAATGGAGCTTGTCTTGGTAAGATTGGCTCTAGGTCAGCAGTTTTGGGTGTCAAAATGTCAATCCTGAATCATTTGTTAACAAACCTGTAAAGTAGCACAGAGCAGTGACTGTAGATCATTGTACTGAACTCTATCGGACGTGTTCTGAATGTGACCTTCCAAGGCCAGCACATGCTGAAGTCTCTCGAGAATAATCATTGTGGTCTTCTGAACAATCAAGTAACAGTCACTAGGACTGTTTTTCACCATTTCCATCAGTGCTTCGTAAGCAGAACTACGCAAGTTAGCCTGGCTCCCATCAGGTCTAAACAAAGTGTGAAAAAATAAAATAAATTCACTGCTTATTGGAATGACACCAGCAAAACTAATTCAAATTTAAGATTACTTGTAAATACATTAAATTGAAACAAGGTCAAGATCTAACTGAAGGAACAATTGAAACAAGAACAAAATCTGAATGAAGGAGCAGTTTGTGAAGGTCTCACTGAAGAAACAGTTAATGTCAAGATTTGATTGAAGGAGCAGTTAAAATGTTTAAGATCAGATGTAATTGTTCATCAAGTACCTGGAGGTGGAGTCATTATGATAGAATAGTCTGAGTGAATCAGGATGTTAAACTTTAAATATTTGCTGAAAATACTGTTTTTTTTTGTTTTGTTTTTTGTGGAATACCTATTGCCTCACAGTAAGGTTTTACATAAGATGTAAACAGATTATTAAATCTTTGTGAATAACTTAGACTTTAGGTATATGTTATTTCCCAATAACATTTAACTGAAGGAACAGTTGAAACAAGATGTAAGATCTGACTGAAGGAACAGTTGAAACAAGATGTAAGATCTGACTGAAGGAACAGTTGAAACAAGATGTAAGATCTGACTGAAGGAACAGTTCAGATCTTACATCTTGTTTCAACTGTTCCTTCAGTCAGATCTTACATCTTGTTCAACTGTTTCTTCAGTCAGATCTTACATCTTGCTTCAACTGTTTCTTCAGTCAGATCTTGATCTTGTTTCAACTGCTCCTTCTAGACAAGCTTGATCTGGTTTTGACTGAATTATTATACATACAGCTGAGAATGAGGGTTAGCCAAAAAATAATAAAGTTATATAACTGAAATTATCATGAATTATCATTTTGACACAAATTCAAAGTTTAATAGCTAGTAACCCAAAGTAAATATTTCACCTTTCTGTTGTTTCTAGTAATTTAAAAACAATAATTTCAAAATAATCAGATAAGCAGTACGTCTGTGGTTCAGCTCCCTCATTAGGCACGTCTGCTGCATCATAAGCTGCTTCAGCCAAGCTGTTAAATGCCTAAAATGAATGGAAAAAAGCTTAGGTTACAGATAATTCTTTAGTTCTTATAATGAAAAAACAATACGGAAAATGAACTTCAGAAAACTAAAGATCCCTAGTCAAGTTCAAGCCTTTATTTACTCATTTTGTTACTATAAAAATAAATACTAAACCCAAAGACTTCTTACACTGGCTTAAAAAACTCTGACTTGGACAGTGTTGTAAAGCATTATAAACTTCCATTCATGCCTCATCTATGTGTTTCACATTTAATTTCCTGTAAAAAAATACCAGTTTCTTCTAACAGGTCACTTAGAAGTCCACCGAGACAAATAATTCAAAGTAGAGAGGTACAAGAAAATTAGAAAACCTATGCTGTGAAAATAACATTGAGGTCACTAAATTTCAGCTTCAAAGTCACGTTCTTCAAACTTTTATTTACATGCAGCATCCATCAATAATATCAACTATAAAGGCACAGATATCAAAATGTGAAAGAGATTACATAAACTGCTCCACTAACAGCAGTTAGATAGCTGTATAGAGAAGAGATAAATATCCCAAAGGCATTACGAAATTGTGGTGATAATTAATAGTTGTGTTCAAGTTACATGTCCAAACATAACAGAGGTCAATATGAAGGTTTCTCTGTCGATACTGTTTTTGTTTTGACCACGTGGCATCTATGTGTCACCAGCTTTTAGTACAAAGCTGGTGACACATATTTCCTATCCAATGTGAAGGATAAAGTTCAAATGGGTACAGTTAGGTATATAATCTGGCAGCAGCCAAATTATTCTCATAACTTCTTCATACAATGGAGCTATGATAAACTGTTCTTTGATTAGATACTGTGCTATTACTGTAGATGATTTGTGTACTACCTTATGTAGGGGCTTTTAATACTTATATTCTGATCCCTTAACCCTTTCAATACGGGTCGGGGTCAGATCTCATGTCATCATGTTTTGTAAACTTACATTCAAAATTTTATTAAACTACTATTTTATGAATGTATGTCCAAAAATTTGGAACCAAATTGTAGTTTGTAATCTGAATTTTAGTATTATACAATATTTAATTTCTTGGCTCAAAAGTACATATTAAAAAAAAAAAGCTAAATATGGATATTTTTTGTGTGTCACATAATACATTGTCTTCCGTATTTGCTCATATTGTATTATGGTCATCATAAAATGTAAAGTATATGGTTTTTAATGAATTAGAAACTCAAATTACTGATGTTGACAAGCTAGAACATAAAATAAGAATGTCCTACTTTTCTATTTGCTGAGATATCATTATATTTAGCAAATCAAAACATAATGGCTCCACTCATCTATTCCTCTTTTGGAAATAGTTATTTACCTATACCCACTTCTCTCAATTACGTGTTTATAACCAATCGAAAGTACTCAACGTAATTGTCAGTCTTCCAAAGTATTTGTGTGTGTAAAGCCCTCATTACCATTGCACAGTTTGAAGAGTGGCAATCAAAGCAATATTCTGATTGGAAATGAGGTTATTTAGATTCAAATACAGCTTATTTATTAAGCCTGACAAATTATAGTGGAATTTTGTGGTATCAGTATATTAAATTATAATTTTTTTCCAAATTTCAAAATAAATATATAAAATCTAAAAAAAATCACATTTTTTCTTACATTCTCCACATGTGAAATTTGATGAGGCTTAGCAAGTACAAAAAAACTTTGTTACATGGTAGAGACCATTGTTTATATATATATATGTTGGTACGCTAGTCCTAAGACTAAGAAGTGTAAGACATTTGTACTTGGTAAAAAGCCAGTTTTATGATTTCAGTTTGGTAATGTGAACTGTGAACTGCACATTTACTGAATTATTTACAACTTGTGTGGTGGGATTATTAGTCAGACATGGTTCAAAGATCAATAAAACAAAAAAATTAATAAATATAAATAGTTGTCTACTGTTACGATACTTTATCTATAATAAACATTTATGGTTTCCTGTTACAATTTGCAGTCATTCTAGAACAAACAAAAGATAATTTAGGTTTCCTAATTCTTATGGTGGTTACGAGGTCAGTCAAATCGACCAAGTTAAGGTAGAGAAAATAAGGGAGTTAGGAAATTATAGAGAATACACAAATAAAATTTAACAATTTTCAGATGAAGAAAAATACTTTTAATCTTAAAATCACAATTACTTTGCATGTTGGATAGTCAACGTTCTAAAAAATAAAACAATTCACAAGCAAATCTTTAATTGAAAAATCTTAATACTCAATTAAAAACCTGGGATTTTGTGTACAAAAGCCTTGTAATGCTTACTGATAATTGCAAAATTTCATGAAGATACACTTACATCACCAAAAGTTATAGTATGACTGCTCTTATGGTTACTTCGGTGGTTACATACTGGGTGCAATGCACTCAGACCCATAGTAAAAAAAAAGTTAAAAGGTGCAATGATCTTATGCAAAATCCTGACATTGTATTTCAAACCTAGATTTGTGTGACAATCTTTTCTATGGTTGGATTTTTATCTTCTTGTATGCATGGTAGGGGTGAACTTAAGCTCACAACTGTTATTCTTTTCTTGAGGAATGAATTTGATAATTTTTAGTTCAAGACATTTTCAATAACTAAATATTTTGAGTTTATGTGCATATAAATAAAATTTACAAAGGACATGACCTTGAATAACCACAATGATATTGTCACAAAGTAGCCCTCTAACACCTCATTCCATACCACTAACTATTTTTTGCCACTTCTCCAGTTCTGGATTGTCTGTCTGTCTATGGACTTTTGAAACACCCTGTAAAAGCACTGTGCACATTGACTACACATCGTACAAACTGACATTCAAAAATATTCTACACTATGTAACATACAAGAGACTTGTATCATACACTCCAAATATGCTTTGTTTACAACTCAAAGTCGTCTTCATAGAGAATGTGTAGGATAAAGCACAAAATCAAGAGCTTGTAATACTAACAACAACAAAAAAAGCACACACTGTAATGTACTGTGGCTTATTTACTTAAATATTTTTGTTTTAGCCACCGGCTACTGAAAACTGTTTTGAAAATGCACTTCAGAACACAATATTCGTAATTTTTTAAGAACTGCTTAAACCACAGTCTTACAGAAAACCAATGAAATTTTTTATATTTTAACAATCAGAATTTCTACTTTACTCTAATAAAGCAACCAGTAAACACTTTTATAATAATACCCTAACACTATTAGTTATCAATGAAAATTTGAAATACAAATGTTTTCTGCATAACAAGTTAGGAGCATAAAAATTGTACATTCTTAATTTGTGAAAAAAAAGAAAAGAAAAAATATTGTGATAAGATTCAGGTTTCATTAATAATTTATTTTTTATCATTCCAATCAACATTTTAGACCTTGATTGTTAGGTGTATGTTTTTCTAGAACATTCAGTGTAACATTGTAAGCCTCAATTTATATTGAAGTTTACATTTTTAGCACACATTCATTGCGACATCTTTAGCTCTAGTTGTTAAAATGTACATACCCAGCACACATTTGATGCAACTCTTGGTTCAGCTGCAAGACCTTTCACCAATGTTTCCAGAAGAAGTTTTAAATAGTTTTCATTTATTACAGCTTCAGAAATGAGCTCGCACACACGACCAATAGTCCATGCGACTGTGTCCCGCACTACCACACTTTGGTCAGACATAAGTTCTATTAGCATTGGCATGGCTTGTTCTACAATAGGTTTGAGCTGGCAAGGATCTGGTCCTTCAAGAATACAACCTGAAATATTAAAAGGTAATGAATTAAACTACCGTGAAAAAAGAGAAGTTACTCCCAATTGGTACAAAGGCTCAACAAGTCATAATGTACGAGAGTTAAACTATCCCTTCTCCTTTCATTGCTAAAAGAAATATCAAGACTAGCTTTTTTTTTTTTTTTATCACTGGTTTCAAGGAATTCTACTCCTCTTCAGTACTCGTGGACTAGATCAAATCAATGAATAAGACAAGGACACAGTATACAGTGTTCATAGTATTAAAGGGTGTGAACAGTTAAGAAATCAAACACTCCAAAATTAGAAAATTTGTTAGGGTTAAAAGGGTTGTAAAAAATAATTGAAATAAAATTACTAAAAAACAAATCCCCAGTAAAAAAAAGCCAAAATTGTGTTGAAGACATCAATGTTTATAGAGTTAAATCTTAATAAAAAAGGAAATTTATTAATTTTTTTCAAAATAGGAATTTTAGGAACCATTTCTTTTAACCCTATTAGGTGTATATAAGGGACTGTTTCCAAAAACGGAAAGAGGTGGTGGAGGGGCCAATGTGTTTGATTCACTACAGGAGCGACATCTTAAGAAATAGAAAAGATAGGACATTCTTATTTTATATTCTAGCTTGTCCCCACTAGGGGGACAATCTGAGCTTTTGATTAGTTATTCATGTTATATATATATAGAAGTAAGTGTATATAAGGGAGCGTTTCCAAAAATAGAAAGAGGTGGGCAGAGGGGCCACTGTGTTTGATTTATTACATGAGCAATATCTTAGCAAGTAGAAAAGATAAGATTTTCTTATTTTATATTCTAGCTTGTCAGTATCTGTAGGTTTAGTTCCTAATTCATAAGAAACTTTATATTTTGTATTTTGACATAACAAACATCTAATTTGAATCAGTGCTGTATTCAACATACTACATGACACACAAAAATCAATGTTTATCCATGTCTTTTTAATATTTAATTTTAAATTAACAAATCAAGTAATGTATAGTTCTAAAATTTGAATTATAATCTACAGTT